TACGAATACTTTTTTTTGCCTTTCCAGGGGGACTACTTTAAAACGCTATCCATCCCCTTAGGCCCAATGTTTGTTTACTATTACGAATGTTTACTATTAAAAATGATCTGCTGCTCGTGACCATCACGATATTACTATCGCAAAATAAGACGAAATAAATTCGACGAGCTATTTACGGACTTACTTGATCTAAAATGATATTGGTGTCCAACAACAAATAGTACGATAATGAAAACAATGCACTTTTTGCACTGGAATCTTCGTCATCTAGAATGCATTCTCGGTTCTTCTGTTTGCAATGATTTGAATTCTGTCTGCAAAGCTTTGAGCCACACCAAATATCATCCCGCAAGTAATGTTCCCTAACAGTCTATGAATAATAAAAAGAATAAAATTTATAAAGTCACGTGAACAAGTATAAATACATTGGTAATATTCCTTTAAATATTAGTTATACCTTATAAATATTTCCACCTTTAGTCTTCCTAAAAAAGACCTTTGTCGCCAACATTTTTCTAATTATGTTGAATATTTTATTAATGCATAATTGATTCCATTTATAAAAAGAAAATAAAGTTTAATTTCGACAAACTTTTCTGCCTAGGTTACAAAGCTATAAATGCGTGTTTGCGTGTGTGCATATATATATATATACATATATATATATATATCATATATATCTAGTTACGTTGCGTACAAAAGGTGTCGCCACTTTTTTACGCATGCGCATCAAAAACGATATGTTACCAACAAGAAGAAAGCAAACGTTAATAGTGTAAACTCAAGAAATTCAATCCGAGAATCTTGAATATAATAAAACATATGTATCAAAACAAGACATATATTACATTTGTATCAATATCTTTATTCATTGTTACGCGTAAAGTTTACTAACAATAATACTTGCAGCAAATATGGAATATAATGCAAAATTTCATAGTTCACTTTAAAAATGTTTCATTTCAGTAATATTTCAGAAATATATTTGTATGAATAAGTCTCTCTTTCTTATGTGCGTGCGGTTGTGTGTGTATGTGTGTATACTTTGTAAACAACTCAAGCCCAGTTGTGGATGTATGATATGATCCAAATTTTCAAGAGAGAGGAGGGGAGAAAGAAAGAGTCCATTTGTAGTTTACATATAATATTACAAAAACTCAAAAATATTATAATCACTGCAACAAAATATCATGGAGAAAATATTTTATACAACATTTCATCGCACATTAATAGACAATTTTTTAATAACTTTATGAATTTCGTATGCCAAGAGCTTGTTCTAATTCAGCTCGTTTTTGTTGGACTTTAGTATAAAAGTAACGGCAGACAGCTTCTTGTGCCCAAGGTTGATAATAAAATTCAGCTCTGCGTTCTTCCTCTGGGTTTCCAACGACATCCGTCATTGTTTTTAAGTCTCTTGTTTGTGATATAATCCATTTGTTAATAAATTGTTGAGGATCTTTTGCAAAGCTTAAGAAAAATTCACGATTCGTTTTTAATTGATTAATTGTTTCAACGGTTTCGTGTATCTTGTTGTCTAGACTTTGTATTTCCTGTTGACTTGCAGTTGATAATAGAAAATTATTCATTTGTGTTTTCAATGTATCATCGACCTCGACTTCTATATCATAACATGCAGTTTGCTTTGTTTCTGTACCTATAACAAAATTAATAGATACAATTAGAAAGTATACAATTTATGCATATGGATTATATAGTCGTCAATGAACTATGCGTTTAACTGCACATACCTTCTACGCTAATGACATGATTAATCACAATGGGATCGGGTGGGTGCAATAATGGATTTAATCTTTGCGGTATTTCAGCAAATTTCATTCTGGGACAGGCAAAGATTTGTTCCAAATATTTGTCACAATTTATAAATTCACGTTCATGACTGTCTTGAAGTTTATGAGTTTTTATATACTGCCAAAGTGCTGAAATAATAACAGGTCGAGTCTGTGTATGTACACCTAACAATCGTGCAAGTCGTGAATCTAATTTGAACTGCAACAAATAATTAAAAAAGTTCACATTATAATATAAGCATTGTAACACTTGAAATATTTATTCGAATGACTTATATACACATATACATATATATATAGGTATATATATAAATAGGTATATATATAAAAAAAAAACTAAAATATCTATTACCTGCAAAGGCTGATAATCAAGAAGTAGAAGAATGGTACAACGAACATTTTTGTCTCCTGGTCTTTTTACTTGAAATCCATCAGTTTCTTGTGTAGTTAATGTACGATGCCATTCAACTAAGTGATTATCTGGTCCATACAAATCTTTATCTAATTCAATAACTAGACTTTTAAAAAAGGATGAAAATTTTCTTTTCACCTGTTGCGATGGTACATATAAGAAAAATATTATCACTAACAGGAATAAAAGATTATTAATGTAAAAGAATTGTTAGTACCTTATTAGGATCATTTTTAGTATCATCTAATAATCTGCCTTCAACTCTTAATTCCCAAGAAGCAACTGAACCCTCCTCTCCCTCTGCTGCTTCTTTGGCTGGATAAAATGTATTGGAAATAAAAATACGTAACTTTCGTTTCTGTTTCATTGGACGTTTCAAGGCTTCTTGTATGTCAAGACGTTTACGCATTATAGTTGCATCTAACTTCCTTTCAAACGCAAGCAAATCCATATAAGCCTGGGATTCTGGCACCAAATCTCGTACTTTTTGAGGTAATATCTTGTCAGCAAGTTTCTTTTTCTTCTTGGATGTGGAATGTGAAAAGTCACTGTTCCAAAAATACCTATATAAGTTTTTGTAAAAATTACAGATTCAAGGATCAATGTGTGTACAAATTTGTTGGCAGCATGAGGATGACATGTATGGTTCCTGATAAAAGTGATATAAATTAGGTAATGAGTGAATATATGTGTATATACATATATATATGTGTGTGTGTGTGTGTGTGTGTGTGTATCTCGTACGCACAGACGTACCCGCACACACACATAACTATGTATAAAAGTAAAGTTTGTAGAAACTATATGTGTGTAGGATGTGATAATTGTAGAAAGAGATAGCTGTATTTATTTTCTTATGAAAATAAATGAGAGAGTATATATTAAAAATGATACGCATTACATACGGTTTTTGCTGTGACAAAGGTATTCTTTGATCAGCACTCCTTTTACCAACAGGAGGCGTTGGCATTGGACCTTGACGCATATTGGTATACGGCTGATTAGGTCTCATTATTCCTCCTGGTCCTGGTGCAGCATTGCTCATTTGTGGCGGAGGTGTAAATCCAGATCTTTGTTGCATCTATATCAAAATTTACGAAACAATCTATTTATATGTTACTTTATAACATAAAATAAGATATAGATTAATAATTTAAACTTACTGGAAAATTTGGTCCTGAATACTGGCGCAAATTTGGTGGTACAGACGAAGGAGGATATCGTTGTGGAGGAGGACCATTGTTTCCTGTATTTGGGACAGGAAATCTTTGCGCCATATTTTTTTATCTATTCTGTATTAAAAATAAAATATATTTAAGTACTTTTATTGAATTAATTATACCATTATGAGTCTTATACCGTTAGTACACCATAAATCATATAAATCAAACTAAACGCTTTTGAACTTTTTTTATAATATATACATGGATGTTTCTTTGAAATATTAAATTTATAAACGAAAAAAAAATGCTTAATGATTTCTATTACCGTGAATAAATATAGATTACAAACATAACCTGAATTTAATTTTAATACTTTTTTAGATTAAATGTAATGAACTACTGGCAACACAAGTTATTTAAATTCTTTGATTTAATAATTTTGAAAGATGTTACATTAAAACTTTACAAATAGATGCAAGCAGTAATCAAATCACAAGAATATGTCAAAAGAGTGATACTAACAAACACTTGAAAAAAATCTCCATATTAAAACATTATAGATAAAAATATGTATATTATACATACATATAAATATATATGTCTCTCACCCTCCCTCTGTGTGTGTGCGCGCGCGCGCGTATGTGTATGTGTGTGTGTGTGTGTGTGTGTGTGTGTGTGTGTGTGTGTGTGATATTTCAAATTTCTTATATGTATAGATATCAGTTTAAACGATTTAAAAGAAAATAAAATAAAAGAGCACAAACTCAGTTATAAGCAATAAGAAATAGTAGAGACTTCATAAAGCTAATAAGAAACTTCCATATTAAATTCTGAAATGTTCCGAGACATTGCTTTTGTCGCCACCTAGCTAGTATCCCATATTAATTTTATCTACGACCGAATCAAATATTCAATGTAAAACTTATTTCGTTATATCTATTTGTTGTTAAATATTTTTGAAAGGTTCTAATCGCACCGCCATGTTTATTTAATTCAACTAGACTCGAGACTAAGCCCTGTGTACACATGACTATTTTATATTTGGACCATCAGGTGACGCGGAGGTAACTTTAAAGCACACACAAGGCTCAATTTGATTCCATTATTTGACGTATAAAAAAAAAACAACCTGTATATGTACTTTTTAAACCGTTTAAGTGGACATATATATAAAGATCTTTAAACGATTAGACAGATTAGATTATCAGAAAATTATTCTTTCGAAATTAAACAATTTTGCGGGTAATTACCGTTTACATCGGAGGCAGATGAAAGACAATTCGTGTTTTAAATTCATGCTTTATGGTAAAATTATAGAGGTCTTTCTATTCTTAAGAATTTCAACGATGCATCACTGCGCCACCTAACTTTACATCCATACTTATGTACTTACTTAAAATACAGTGGATTCCAATTTCGAACGTATCGTATCTTTGTACCTACGTATTGTCCCTATAAAATGTTCCCCAATCGTTAACTTCTCAAACTATAATTTATGTTCATTTTTCGTTTTCTACAATTTCGACATTTTTATCATATAAACTTTCATAGATATAAACTAACGTTACGAATGTTTTGAAACGATAACATTACTACGAGGTATTATTTTCTTTTCGATAAAAACTGACACAAATGAACGCTTACAGAGCAATCAAATAGAAAAGCATATCGCGGCAATAACAAAACGTAATTTCCGTTAACAAGTTGAAAAATAACGTAGACATCTTTTGTGCCGTAACTCGTGTCAATAGATCTCGTAATGTACGCGGACGTAATCGTACCTAAATCATATGATAAACGGTAGAGTTCCTTTTAGTGAAAAAGTGTTCAGTCATCTTTTTCTATTATGCAGTAATATCATTGATAATAAACAGCGAATAGCAATCCAAATTAAAGTTGTCTTTCGTTGTTTTTCTTTTTTTTTCCCCTCTCTTATTTTTATAATATCGTGCTTTTGTGATTTTTCACTTTGAAAAATACAGCGTACGACACATTTTAAACAAAATGGTGTGTTGATCTAATCATAAATGTATTAATAGGTTCCTTTGAAAAAGAATGTTACTTTTATACGTGATACCATTTTTATATTTGCAGATGCAATTTATGTTATTGTTCAGTCGTCAAGGGAAGTTGCGCTTGCAAAAATGGTATGTTGCACATCCAGATAAATTGAAGAAGAAGATCACGAGAGAATTAATTACTACAATACTTGCGAGAAAACCAAAAATGTCAAGCTTTTTAGAGTGGAAAGACGTTAAAGTCGTTTATAAAAGGTGTCTGTCATTTATTATGACTTTTTATTTGACTTGGTCATTTATTTTTAGGGTGTTGTGACATTTCGAAAAAAAATAAGAAAGAATAATAATAATAATAATAATAATAATAATAATAATAATAATTGTATTTTATTTTAGATACGCGAGTTTGTATTTCTGTTGCGCTATAGAGCAGAACGACAATGAATTGCTTACCCTTGAAATTATACACCGTTACGTCGAGTTATTGGATAAATACTTTGGCAGTGTAAGTATAAATCATCGTATTTTTTTTCTTCCTTTATCTTCTTTTCTTTTTTTTTCTCTTTTTGGTTTACATAAAGATCCAAACATACATCTATTTATATCTCTATATATATTTTGTTTAGGTATGCGAGTTGGATATAATCTTTAATTATGAAAAAGCATATTTTATATTGGACGAATTACTAGTTGGCGGTGAGATACAGGAAACAAGCAAGAAGAATGTGTTGAAAGCCATTGCAGCTCAGGATTTACTACAGGAGGTTAGTTATGGAGATGTACCCATTGAATTGTAACGTTTCTTCTTTGACACTCTGTTCGTGTGTCTGTTCCTTCCTAAATATTATACATTGATCATTTAAACGTGTATTATATCTAGAAATTTGTTAAAAATTTAGTCAGCTAGATTTATCATTAGTCTGAATCAAGCGTGCGTAATAAATTTTACCTTTACTACTGTTGCACTTTTAAATGATCCATGAATATTATTCTTATTGTCGGTAGTTATTGTGTAATGTCTCTAACAGGAGTAATATGCATTTTTTAAATGATAGAAAAAGAAAAAGAGAGAAAAGGTTTCTATAAGAAATGTTACTAAATGTTTGATGCAAATTATGTGGTTTGCATGTTTATTATCTTTTTCTTTCGTTGATGCAGTAATGTGGTGTATATATATATATATATATATATATATTTTTTTTTTTTTTGATATAACACTTTTAGACATGCAACAACTATATATTTTCAATATCCATTCCATTTGATATTATACCGCATTATTTGAATTTCTTCAAATAATTTTATAATAATTATAGTATAAAATAATAGTGAGATTTTTGATATGCACCGAACAGCTACAAGTTCAAATAATATTTAGGAGCATACATATTTTCTAACATTTTTTGTTACGTCATTATAAATGACAATCAATTTTCTTACTTTGACTTCATTCGTTGTGGTAATATTTAAAAATATTTTTCGTGCATATCTATGCTTTTGAAATTTATATCTTGTTTTGTGTGAATAATTAATTGTTCATTCGACAAGCATAAAAGATGGATTAATTAGCATTTCGGTTAATTTGCAGTTTCAGTACAAATAAGTCAGTAAAAGTTTATATTTATGGTTTAAATTTTTAATTTAATATATTCATCATAGAATTTTATTTTAGATTTTATGGTTTTTAATCGACATTATTATTATTATTATTATTATTATTATTATTATTATTATTATTATTGTTATTATTATTATTATTATTATTATTATTATTATTATTATTATAATTATTATTATTATTATTATTATTATTATTATTATTATTATTATTATTATTACTATTATTATTATTATTTTGTTGTTTTTCTTTTTCTAGTAATTGGTGTAGAATACTTCTTTATTTTTATTAATCAGATATTTCTTATGAGACGATAATATCTTTTGCATTGTCTGGCTATGTATGTACGCTTTATTTCCTTGTAATTTATGTTATCGGTTTAAATGGAAGGATATTTAGAGTATTATATTAAATTCCTCATCCTATTTTATATATTAATAATAATATAGAAATATATTTTAAGAATATTAAGTGGATGAGAAGTTAGTTGATGATTGAGTAAAATATTGAGCATTAAATATTTTAACAGCTAATCCTGCGTGCATAGATTGCTTAATGTGTTTGTTAATTTATTATTTTTAAGTGGGCTTATAGCGTGATATATAATTATTTATGACAATATTATATGTATATTATGTATGCGGTAGCATCTCCATGGTAGGAAACTCTTTGGTGCATGATGATTTTTTTTAAATATGGTTTTTATCTATAAAAGATTCTCAACGAGTCACTTATGATACGTCAAGACCAATAAGAGACGATCTGTTGTTAACATAAACTAATTATTTAATGGTAACTTACACGCAGAAACTATGTTTATAATTTATATTTAATGTGCCATGTAAATGATGTATATATTTAATGAGATATAATGAAGCATATATTAAAGGTGATATATAATAATGATAGAAATAGTAAGGAAAATTGCATAATATACAGTGTATTGTATCTAGTCAATTTGATCCAGTACGATTTAAAAAACATACTTTTGTATTAGCATCATATATAGACCGCTAATTTATTTCATTTAATAGGCAATTGAATGTTATTAGAATGTTAAAAAAAGAATTTTTTTTTTTTTTTTTTTTCGCTTCATAATATTTGATAACATTGTATTTTACTTTTGTTGCAATGATAAATTTGACATCATATTTGATATTATTATTTCATTCTCATACTCGAAGTAATGATTGTTAACAAGGATAAGCATGCTTCCTTTGTTATATAACAATATACATTACAGTATTGCCATAATATTAAGGATGATCCTTGTATATTGCTATAGTAGCTTCTATCGATTTTTTGCAATATATAATATTTTCTAATAATTATTATTTCATGTTAATAACAGAAGTCTTTAAGAAAAAAAAATTATGTGCTGTTATATAACATAGATTATGGCAGTATTGTGACAAATATGAAAATTATTGCTATGGATATGCTGCTAGTTGTACATATTTTGTTGACAATATGTATTATGAAAATTTTAATAAACAATGATTTTTTCTTGTTCTTACAGTTTAGTATCTATGCATTCTTATTCTATACTAATAATAAATTAATTAATTTTTATATGAGATAATAGAAATTATGTTAGCAACTATTTACAAATCATTCATAAACTGTTTACCTTTTCCAATGAAAATGTTTTATTCGCAATTAGCTTTTATTTGCTTGTAACTTTATATGATGCTAATGCCATAATCATTATTTTAAAATACAGTAAACGTTTATTTTAAAAGTATAGAAGGGTACTGTATTTGAAGCATATCTATTATTATCGTTATTAGGAATGTTAATTTATAATGATATTATAGGAAAAGTTTTCGTGTACCCTTTTGATTAATTGATACTCTTGAAGACTGTTAACATTAATTGATAATATAATTATTGTATAAAAATGAATACACATTTTGGCACTGGTATAAATGTAAACATTGTAAGTGCATTATAAATATAATACATATGTTAAGAGAAAAAATATAACAAGGAATTATTGAGGTAATAGAAAAAAAAAAAAAAAATAAAAAATAAGAAAAAAAAGGAACATTTATTTTGGTTGTAATATTAGGATTGATTTGAAATAATCTTTCACTATTGTATTGAAAATATCGAACGTGTGTTGGATATTTATATATTTATATTGAGAAAAAATATTTTTTATAATGTTGTACAAGTGAAATTAAAAAGTGTTAAAATATTAATTGACACTAGAATACGCGAGACTAGTTAGCGTTTGTTTGTTTGTGGAAGGATGAAGCTGTGGAAGGTGCTCTGCGGGAGATAGGGCTTTTATAGGTGCTGCATTCTTATATATTCTACGTGCCCGAAATGAACAACCCAGATGAACAACTACATCGAAAAGCTCATCTTGAGAACATTGTCATCGTGTGCATCATCATATGTGTCAACTTTATCTCATAAGAGATTTTTAACATACATTAATCTCTTATTCACTATTCAGCTCTCTTCTTCAAATTTTAAAAAGTAATGTCATATTTTTGTACGAATAGATCGTGCAGTATGAAGATTGGAAAGTGGTACAAAGTAATATATGTCGGAACATAACAATTTTATATTCTATAATGAGAATTTTTCACTTGTATTATCTCATAGTTATTGAGTAGATTTTAATGATCTATAACTGTGGCAATAATATCTCATACGTATTTATAAGAACATAAGGAATTTTCGAACAGTATCTGTATTCATGTACTTTATATGTATGTCAGGGGGAACTGTTTATTAATTTCGATGGTATATCTATAGAAGAAGAACGAAAGAAAAGGAAGAATGTGTGTGTGTGCGCGTGTGTATATATATATATATATATATATATATGTATATATATGTATGTATGTATATATATATATATATATATATATATATATATATATATATATATGGATATACATTATCAATGTTAAATAAGTGCAATTTGAAATCATCTTTATATGTATATGTGCATAAACGTATAGTATAAGCAATAACATCAACTTTCAATGTGAAACTAGAACATCGAATGTATTTGTAATAAATCCATTATTAATGTATTAACGTTAAGTAATGTTTAGACAAATCGCGTTTCACCATTTTTACGAATTGTGATTTGGAAATTTTTTCGAATGTTTAAGTAAAAAATAAAAAAGTATATTCAGTATATATTTTAACATTTGTGTTCTCAGTCCAATGGTGGTTTGTTGTGTATAGACTTTTGTTTATTAACAAAATTAATAATAATGTATGTGAGATGCCCTATAGCATGCTAGAAAGGAAAAAAGAAAAAAAAAAAAAAGTAAAAAAAAAAAAACAAATGTCAAATAAAGCTTAAAAATCTAGATGCTGTATATAAATGTGCACTATGTGCAATTTTATTGATAAAAATAATACAAATAATTACTTGATTATATGAAAAGGGTTCAGTTCATCATTTGAAGCTGCATCAAGAAGATAACTTAAGTCAAAGTAGGTACGTGCTTGCTTACTCATATATATATATATATATATATTCTGTGATTATTGTATTATATAAATTTTATAATAGAAAGCAGCATCAAAGTAATTGATCCCTATTCATATATAACATAAAAGTATTCCGAATGTTTTTCTAAAACTAATTCACATTGCATATGTTTCAGGAGGAAACCCCTCAAGGATTTTTTGAAGATCACGGATTGGGATAATATTTTTACCAAGAGTTCTATTTTCTTTCCAATTGGCAAGACATTCTATGGGAATGGTTCTATCATTCCAGGACATTGATTGCATTGTATGTGTAAGCTACTACTTTACTTAAACTATTAAGAATTAGTAACGCAAAAAAATCTCCTAAGAATCAGTAAATGTTATTTTCATTATACACAATATTAAAATTATTAACAATTTTAATAAGAGATATGTTATTCTACTATTGAAAATTATTCAAAGATTTAATTAAGTTAAAGATTAGCGTAATAAATGTATTACGCCAAGTCACCGGTCAGTATTTCTAAATTAGGTACACAGTCGTTTTACAATTAGCAATGTTACATATCAAGTAAACGAAGGAAAACTTTGGAATGAATTATTTTACTTATATTACTTCATAATCATAATTTTTCAAGTTGTTTACATTTTATTTTCATACCGACCTAATGACTGATGCATCATTTGTAAAATGTACTTACAAATAATTATTATTATTATATTGTTTATACAAGTAATTAATGATTGCATTTAGATAGACTGCTCTGTTGGACCTTGGGTGCATAATTATATTTAGTTAACCCGTGTAAACGTGTATATAAATATAGTATGAAAGTTATATAGATTTTTTTTTACTCGACAATTTAGCATTATACTGTTGATGATCGCATAAACGAATTTATATTTAAGGAAGGCTATTGTTATCGAATACATAGTAAATTACAATTACATTTTCAGATATTTGTTAATTATGCATTTCAATATATACTCCAAGTAGGTTTATCACGTTTGATCATTATATCATGTTATAATTTTCTCGTTGAGAATATAATATTCTCCCTAATTTATCTAACAAAAAGAAAGAAAAATAATGTTTGACTATTTAACATATTTATACTACTTATCTATAAGGGGCACATCAAAAGTATGAGTATTAAAGATTGCTTCAAATTGAAATGTTTGTAGGATACAGGTAACTCCTGTTATACGAATTCTTTCACTTTACGAAATTTCTTTGAATTACCTTTCGCATATGTACATATGTGTGTGTGTGTGCGCGCGCGTATATATATATATATATATATATATATATATGTGTGTGTGTACATACATATGTGTGTATATATAGTATCTAAACAAATGCATATTTTATTTGAAATTATTATTAATATTATCAATGGTGGGGCAAAAATGAATTTTGAGAGACAGATGACACGTTTGTTGCATTTTGTTTATGGAAAATTCACAATTTTCGTTTTACGAAGAATGGATTTAATTAATTCGTAAAAGCGGGAGCTATCTGTGTATTGAAGTTATTCTTCAATTTAAAAGTGACAATAATATACTTACATACATGTATATAATATATGTATGTGTATATAAATATATATATATATATATATATATATATATGTACGTATATGTATATGTATATGTATATGTATATGTATATGCATACGCATATGTACATGTATATGTATATGCTAAAGTATTATCTCACAGTATTTAGATAAAGGATTATATAACATATCGTTTGGATAAATGGTACCTATCAGTCGTCTGATTTTCTTCATTAAACGCAGTTAACTATAACGTAGAGCTACGTAACAGGATTGCGAATTAAAAAGTGCAAACTGATTAGATCCATCGCTGAAATGAAAGAAATTGGAATAACTGTATAATTGCTTTGTAGGAAATATTCATAAGTAGCCCAAAAGCCATTTAACTTGTCGGAAGCTTTATCGTTACACGTCAATTTTGTGAAAATATTTTCACGAATTATAATCGTATAATTAAAAAAAATAAATTGATCGTTGTTTATATAATATCAAACGAGAGGATGATATGTAAGTTAGAAGAAAAATACGATAGAAAATGTAGTTAACATTATTTTGATTTTATCTCGTAGGATTTCAAAATATTTGCCTTAAACGCAGATATTTTTCATCGCAGTGTAATCAAAAGTAGGTCATAAAATATTTTATATCCTATGTTATCTATCATCGACTGCACACACATTTATAAAAAAGAAAAAAAAAAGAAAAAAAAGAAAAAAAAAGAAAAAAATATTGATAGGATAACATTTACCGATGTTAAAATTAAAATATGTATGTATTTTATGTTAAGAGTAGAAAAGTATATGTCGCATTGACAAACGATGCTTTGTGCTCCGTCCATAATAAAGGAAACAAATATATATATGAATAAATGCATCCTCTATCGCCTTTTGTCACCCCCTTAGGCCGTGGCGCGTCTACGGATCGTCGGGCAAATGTTTTATCCATGATGGATCCACCGATCGTCAAATCCATCCTTTTTAATCCCTTTGCCCATTTTATCCATTTGTGTATCGAATATTATTTTGACGCCATCAAGACAGATCGAGTTCGTATAAGTAGTATAATTTATGTTTCGTCTGACGATATAACGCTCGTCAGAAACGTCCAACTTTCTAGCGGGGCACGTGCCTATTGGCTCGTACGAATGAATAGAAACGTTAGAGAGACATGGAAAAAGGATGTGGGACGAAGATAGTCCGAGGATGGGAAACATTTCTCTCTATAATTCCCACTCGTTCCGTTATTGAAAAATCAGAAACAGCACGCTGTCATGTGATTCACACAGCAGTTCGACTCGCTTTCATACGTCGTTTCTTTTGTGTTGGATCAGGAATACCGACAATGGTACCATTCTATGCTGGACTTACTTTTTCATTCGATTCACACGAGTTCTCTAGAACGATCCGAAAATGGTTATCAAGTAAACCATTCGAATAAAACGTGCTGATAAATATCAAATCTCTTGGCATAAGCTAAAGAAAAAATAATGATAGGAAAAGTACCGACGTTAAACGGAGGTGAGTGATGCGCGTCAGCGTGTGCCAGCTCTAAACTATTTCAGCTAGGCATTGCACCCCGTTATCGTGCATTTCGTCGTCGTCGTCGTCGTCGTCATCGTCGTTATCAACGTTGGTTCGACAACGTTGGATGACGTCTTCCCCTATCCTTTTTCGAAAACCCATTAACCAGCGTAGTTTTATCTCGTAGACACGCGTAGATAAATAAATAAAAGTGTACCGTTAAAAAGGAACAATAACTTGTCCATTTTAATGGCTCATTCATCCCTGACACGAAGAATCGTAAGGAACAGTCCTAACGGAATTCTCATAGATATTCGATTATTTTCCGATAATATTTAAAATAGAAAAGAAATGGAGCAAGTGATCCTCCCTTTTCTTTTGCTATTTTTCAAATGGATATCGAATCAAAGAAGAAAGGCCGCGAGCACAATTTCGGTAGCTTAGAAGCTAAAAGCTTTAGTCAAGTAAAGTCCCAAACGTCGACCTAAAATGTAAGGATAGACGAAAGAGGCAAATGTTAAACATCTGATTGCAAGTAGCAGGGTGGAGCGCGTTTGGTAGCGGCTGAGTCGACTTTACGGAAAGAGAAAGAGGAGGAGAGTTAGGACGAGAAAGAGCAAGCGCAACGTTTTGCACTACGTTGACGCTGACGGCGACGTATGCAATGGTGGGAGATGAATCTTTGATAACCCGGGCAAAAGTAATACTCTAAGATAACATCTTGTCTCGTAATTTCCATAGGCTAAAAAAAAATTTCTATCGTTTCAAAAAATCAATCGGAAAGAAAATTATTGAGACAAATGAATGTTACTCGAGGAACGACTATCATGTCGTGATCGACGATAAGAGAAAGAAGAAAGTTCGTAGAAGAGGGTGTCGTCGTGGTACCACGGCAACGATGGTACGGCAGTGGAAGGGTGCGATCGCTCGGAACGCATGCGCAGCTCTCCGGGATGGAAGGCCGATGTCAGTGCGGCCACTCGGCGGCCGGTCCGTGTCTCGGTTACGCGAATGCGAGGCCGAGACCGAAAGAAAAAGAGAGCGAGAGCCGCATTGTCGTCTCTCGTTCTTTCACCTAGATGTAACACTGGTTATATCGTTCTGCTATTATCGTTATAGTTTATACGCGAACGAACGGAAGAAAGGGGAAAAGTGGAAGAAGAAAAAGAAGGAGAAGAAGAAAAAGAAGAAGAAGAAGAAGAAGAAGAAGAAGAAGAAGAAGAAGACGACGACGACGACGACGACGACGACGACGACGACGAAGGAGAAGGAGAAAAAGAAGAAGAAGAAGAGGAAGAAGAAGGAGGTAGAGGAGGAGCAGGAGGCGGAGGCGGAGGCGGAGGAGGAGGAGAAGGTGAAGGAAAACCGATAAAACGAGTGGTGTACACCGGTGGTGAGACGAGAGCGAGGCCGCGATCCAGGTCGCGGGTGAGTCCCGCGAACGAGATCGCAGGAGAAAAAGGACGACGACGACGACGACGACGACGACGACGACGACGACGACGACGACGACGACGACGACGACGACGACGACGACAACGACGACGATAAGGGACAAAAGAAAAGGAGGGTGAAAGGGGGAACAATAGGAAAGGGAACGAAAGGATAAAGATACGGAAGAAAGTGGTGATGATAAGATCGACGTCGATTTTCGACCGGTGGTGCCGTAGGACGTACGAGTCGAGCGTCACGGCGGAAAGGGCGGCAAGGAAGGCCGACGAGGTAAAGAGAGCCGCGAAGGTGGAGCTCCAGAGCAAGAGGCGTTCCTATTATCAGTGGTGTCGTCGATCGGTCGTCGAGCGACGAGGTGGTTTGGGAAATAATGCGCGTTAGAGACGTGACAGCGAGAAAAAGGACGTGGACGACGCCGACGCTGAGGACGATCAAGACGAACGAAAAGTGTGCAATCCAGACGACTGCGGCGAAGACGACGACGACGACGACGACGACGACGACGGCGGCGACGACGGCGGCGACGAGGACGACGACGACGACGACGACGACAACGGCAAGGACGGCTACGGCTACGACAACGGCGATACGAAGACGAAGAAGACGCACGACGATCGCGAACATCGACGACGACGAAGTCGCGAGAAGAGAGCAACAGCAGCCGAGCAATCAGCCGCGACGGCATTTGATCCAACGCAATTATGTACGCGTACGGTTTCGAGATCACGTAGTACTTGGCGTGTAATTATGTTGTTGTTGTTGTCGTCGTCGTCTTTGCACGGCGCGCCCTGTGTAGCTTCACGGTGAAAATCTGGCGTGAGAGTTGCCGCGGTGGAACGGGGAACATGGCGTCGGTCTCGGCCGAAACTCGAGCCATCCATGGGCACAGTTTCAGTAAGAAGACGTTTCACAAACCGACGTACTGCCACAACTGCACGGACATGCTCTGGGGCCTCATTCAGCAGGGGTACATCTGCGAAGGTACGAGATTCGACTTTTCAAAAATCTTCCCACCATAATGTCTATCGTATTATCATGTTACGCCTATGGAAATGAGAAAGGGGGAGAAAGATAGAGAGACCTTTCGAAAGAAATAACAGTGGATCTCTTTTTCTTTTCTTATTTATCCCCTCTTTTCAACTTTTGCAAACGTAACTTATCGATTCAAAGTATAGACCAGAGAAAGAGTTTTTCATCGGGAAATGCTCGGACATTGGCTTTCCTTTCACCGTCTTCGATAAGAACAACGTGTCGAACGACTTGACGATGGAGACGGTACGATCGTATATTTTTGGACGAGCGAGCCGCGAAGCGACCTCGACTTTCTCTCTCTCTCTCTCTCTCTCTCTCTCTCTCTCTATCTATCTATCTATCTATCTATTCATCCATCCATCCATCCATCCGTCCATCCATCCATTCATCCATCCATCCATCCATCCATCCATCCATCCATCCATCCACCCATCCATCCATCCATCCATCCATCCTCCAATCCATCCATCCATCCATCTAGAGAATCTCTCCTCGACGAAGCGTGTTCTCTCAAGCTGCTCCTACAGCTCCGGAAAACAGATGGCGAAAGGGGACACGATCGATATACGGGTGCCGTTCGGTTAATGCGATCGAACGTCCGTTGCTTCTTCGTTTTTTTATCAAGCTCTTGCTCTTTGCGTATTCTGTCGATATTCTTTCATTTTTTGTTCTCCTTTGCAATCATCTTCATTCTTTTATAATCATATTCGATATCAAAATGTTTGAAATAATTTAAATGGAATGTCGCGATTTGAAACAATCAACGAACACGTTATATACCGATACACAAAGCGCAATTCGTCCTAATCTGTATCATTGTCACTTATGAAATATACCGATCGTCCGTGATATTTTTTCTAACAATCCATACTTAAAATTACATTTTTCTTGATTTGTTCTTTTGACAAATATAATTGGATCTTTGCATAGATCAAGATTGGTCGAGGAAAACCCTCTATAACGGACGGCAGATGGTGCTTTTGTCGGTCTTTTCTCGAGCATTGATCGTGGGGGATGGTGTGGGGTAGCTGAAGGCCGAGAGAGAGAGAGAGAGAGAGAGAAAAGGCGAGCTCGAAATACGAGAGGAGTGGCGGACGGAAGCAAGGGCTCGCCACGACGAGCAAAAAGGTGGAAAAGGCTCTCGTTCTTGCTCTCTCTCTCTCTCTCTCTCTCTCTCTTACTCCCTTACACGTAGTTAGTTAGTTGTTTTAAAAAAGCAACTCGATTACCAATGAAGTAGAACGAAAGGTTAGCGTAGATTCATCGACGGTGATACTTCCTTCCGTCCCGCTCGCGTTATCCTCTAGCTCCCTTCGATAAATAGAAACGTGAAGCAAAAAAGCGGAAAGTTTATGCAAACCAACGTGGACGAGGGCAAACGTTACATTATTATCGGCGACATATTATCATCTTAAACGAGTAATATAGAAATTAAAGAAATATTATTCGCATTCGATCGTAAAAATGTATTTTTCTGATAATTATTTTTCTTCTGGGATTCGACGCATCGATCAATTTTCGGGTAGGCTATACGATTTAAGGCACAACTAATAGAAGAACAGTCACGGATCGATGCATCGATCCTAATGTACTTGGTCAAATTCATCGTCGATGAGATATTATTTTTTGCTGTCTGGTCGGTCACATAGATCATCTGAATTGTCTATATCTCGCGATCTCGAGTGCGCAAGAGATACGCGGATGAAAAACCGTTTCGAAAATTATTTCTCGATTGAAAACTCATTGACCCGATTATGCGCGCTAATAATGGGGAAAAAGGAGACACAGCTTTGGCGGCATCGGTTCGACGTATGTGTTGCGCGTAAGGTGTCTTCAAGGACAAGATATTTTTAGAAAACCGGAAGTATGCTTAGAAATTGATATCTCTTGAACGTTTATATAGTTCCACTTTCTTCATACAAGTTGTAACGATTTTTCTCCGATAAATGCGGACCGAATCTATAAAATGCTCATTCTAAAATGTTCATAATCTGTCGATCGTTATCCATTCTGACTTTTAATATCAACGTTAATTCGCCAAGTTGTCAATAACGATCGGTGAGCGTAGGAACGAAAAGGGCAAAGTTTCTTGAAGATCCCCGCGCCGCGCGTCTTACACTCGTCCGCGCTTAGCGCGTATTACTTTAATCACTTTAACCGGCGTAATTTTCGATCGATCAACGTGATCATATGAAAATCATATCGATTGGAAAAATAAAATGTTAAGGATATAATTACCGAATCATTCGTTTCTACCTTTATCAGGAATTATCGAAAGATTTACATGACTCTACGTAGGCATTATAAATCTTCCTATGTATCGTATACGTATATACGTCCGATGATAATGATGATATTACGAGCGAATAGTAGCTTTAAATTTCTTTACTATCGTGTTTCCCATTACAGTTTGCAACTTCGTGGTGCACGACCGCTGTCTCAAGGCCGTCGTGTCTCCCTGCTCCAGCATCGCGGCAGGCCTGATTAAGGTATCTCCTTCTTTTTCTTTTCTCCCCTATATTACTACATGTTTAATTGCACACTGAAATTCTTCCCTTAGAACCCGGTCGCACACTGTTGGTCCGAACAGGTACATCGGAAAAGAAAATTCTGCAACGTCTGTCGGAAACGATTGGATGATAATCTATCCATACATTGCCAAAGTAAGTTGTTTTGTTTTCAATAGAACAGAGGAGAAGCTGGAGGAGTAAGATTTAAGGTTAACACTTTGATTTGCAGTATGCGAGTATTTCGTGCACACGGAATGTCAGGACTTTTCTGTGGCAGACTGCAAAGAAAATGCAACTTATTTGCCTGGAAAGGATTTGGCTGCTGTAAAACATACGCATCATTGGCGAGAAGGAAATCTTCCGAGCAATTCCAAATGTGCCGTATGCAAGAAAAGTTGCTTCTCTGCCGAGTGCCTTTCTGGGTTTCGTTGCGAATGGTGCGGCGTAACGGTAATGCCTTTCTTTCTATTAATGAATTACCATTCGTTAGCTATAATAATTTTATATTATCATATGCGATATCGTATCCCTCAGTCTCACGCATTCTGCTACAAAAGCATTCCCTCCGAATGTACGTTTGGGAATTTGGAATCAATTTATCTACCGCCTCATGCCGTCAGTATTCCACGTACCGAGGTACCAATGGAAGCTATTATCGGAGTAGAAGTGCGTCGTAAAGAAGTCCTGGCGCGTGAGTATTCCTGCCGTAAGTGTTTCCCTTATAAGAATACATAGCCGCATATATGATATATCCATACTTGATAGCTGAGCGATCAGGCAACTCGCCTACCAACATTATTACGACAATGGAATCGTTATAAACGAACACAGACACATGATATAATAAAACATTAAACATTATACCTATACATATGTATGTATAATATTATATTAGATATTACGTTTTATTCTTCAAGCTAAATTCGACCTCGACGATTAGTCGTGATATATATTGGAAAAAAAAAAGTAAATATGAAATAAAATATCGTATTACGCTCAGATAACAGATAATGGCATCATACTATTTGTTCTGAAAGTATGTAAACTGGTCTGATTATTTTTCGATCTTCTTTTTTCTTTTTGTTTTTGTTTTCGTTGTTGTTTTTTTTTTTTTTTTTTTTCTTTTTTTTTTCCTTATATACCTATAGGTACATATACATATATGAAATGTATACGAATATTTGTTTACAATGACAATATTTCCAATTATTTATCAATTTTTTTGCATGGTATTATCTCGATATAAGATACCCTTATATAAGAGCCTTCGTAGCGTATTTACATTTATATATACATATATGCATACATACATATATATATGCACACAAATATACATACGTACATACATACATACGTATATATGGATATGTGCGCGCACACACACACATAAGTATGCATGTACATATATATATGTGTGTATGTGTATGTGTATATATACATATACATCTACACATGCAGATAATATATCTACTTTTCTATAGCATGCGATATTAAATTTGTAGGATATATTTAACAAGTTTTTCTATTTTTGTTCGTAGAAACAGATAGATATGGTATATATATTTGCATTTATTTATATTTGTATTAAATATATATATATATATATATATATATATATATATATACACACATATATACATACATATGTATGTATGAATGTATGTATGTATAATATCGATTATGTGATTCTATAAATTAATCTAACACCATAGGAGGTAACTATAAGTGAATATTTCTTTCTACGAATGCCTATCACTGTATGTCTGCAGCATTATATTTTATTATCAGTTACGGATGAAATAACTTCTTATAGGGATTTTTTTTTTACTAGCCTAAACGTTTAACAATATATAGTAGAATATATAATTTTATATGTGTCGAAAGTGCTTAGGGGAGATAAGATTTAAGATAAGATTTAAAAATGTTCAACTATCATTACTTCAAGTATTGACATAAGGCACCTTACCCTCGTTAGTCGTATGATTCAAATAAACGCTCGCGAATGAGTCATCTTAATAATTTAAAATGTTATAAAATAAAACTATGAATGAAAGCCACTTTGAGTTATCTCTTGTAAAAAAAAAAAAAAATGTATCGCGAGAGAAAAAAAAGAACAAAAACTGGAAACTCCGTTTTACTTACATATCAAACATTATGGCTTCCGTTGCTGTCGTTGTTATAGTTGCTATTTTCATGGTGCTTTTAATGGATATTCACTTTGTTAGTTATCCTTTTTCACAATTTTTCTAATGTCGTAATCAAGTAAATGCAAGTAAATTAACCAAATACGCAAAAACATTAACTGGCGAGCGATACATATTTTTCTTTTCTTTTCTGTTTTCTCTTTTTCTTTTTTTTTATACATTCATATTTTCGTTAGACTATATTAAAATGATAGATATTGTTAATATCTAAAGGATTCTAATATCGATAATATTTGAGATTAGCTATTGTAAAGTGAAAACCCCCCACATATATTGACATATTTCCTTTAATGATCGTTCGTAACACCAAGCTTTTTTGACACATTACAATATAGGAGAAATATTTGAAAGAAAAGCCAAATTTTGTAGAATTCAAATTAATTATTAAAATATTCGGATTACCGTTTGCTTCTATTTGAAGATAACATCGGAGAGCAATTCGATTTCGCTGAGAGTGAACAAATTGGGGCTGCAGGCCGCCTAGCAGAAGCTTTGAGGCGCCTTTCACTAGTTTTGCCACGTAGCTGCCATGGAAATTGTCATGCTTCCCCTCCTTATGTTCGAGGTATCTAGAATATTACATCATCAGACATTCATCTGTGTGAGCATATTCAATATTATAAAATCTGTAGCGCAAAACAGAAAGGAAGATAAATCATTATATAGTAGCTATTAGCATTTCTTTATATGTATATACATACGATATATATATATATATACATATATATATATATGTATATGTATATATATATATATACATGCATACGCACACACACACACGCACACACACACACACACACACACATATACATTTGTACATTTATTATTTGTCAAGTTTATAGCATTTATACGAGATATCATATGGTTGATGCTGTTATTATATGATATTTTTGTTTTGTCTGATATATGGCAAATGTTTTACTTGCTTCTTGCATATCGTTTTGTTTCTTCCACTGACCGTTTTTTTACATATGACCGAACATACTTTGCAAACAGGACAAATAAAAATGGTAATATTTCGAATAACTATTCACGATTATTTCTACACACTGATGTGCGTGCGCGTGAACGTTTACGTTTTTATTACTTTACATTATATATTTGTCGCTAATAAGCAATCATGCATCCATATAATAGAAATGGTATAAGATCGTTCGTGAAAAAATAAGAATCGATTATAAAAATATTCAACTATTAATAATTAAATTTAATGTTTAATGTCTCACATATACATATCTATGTTTTTTTTTTATGAAAGTGCAGGTACATGAAAGAAAAAGGAAAAAAAAAAAAAAAGAAAAAAGGGAGAAAAAAAAGACAAAAAAAATATACCTATAATATTTTATTCATTCGAAAGTTGTGCTATACAGATTTTGATGAATGTTGTTATTTTGTTATTGTTTTCGTTTTAGCATGTATGTACATATGTTTCGCTTCAGTGCATGCACTGTCACACTCAGCCCGCTGGATGCTATGTGAAAAATCCATGATGCTTATCACTCTACTATGCAGTGAAATGAAGTACAAGAATGCTACTGAATAATTCTTCCTATCATGTGTGTTCGACAAATCCATCGTAAATGTTCGATGGTAAGAGGTGTGTGTCATTTTCTTTAAGAACGATTAAACGATCGTCGCATAAGAATGCGATATAATATTATATATTTCACGATAAATTGTTTTTTCATTTTCTTACACAAGCATCTCCTAAAGTTCTTATTATTTGTTATTATCGACAACGCAAATATCAAATAATATCTATCATCCGTTGCCTTTTTCATACGTTCTTCAAGAATCATTTTGAGAAACATGAATATTTCTTAAGTGTATGCTTTATCGTTTTATCGTTATTGAGATTGAGAATCAATGAAAAGTAATTAATATCTATCTTATTCGCGGATATGCTTTTTTTTCCGGCAATATTATTAATCATATTAAATAACTCTTGTCACACCATTAATGTTATCTGAGTAATACAATACAAGATCTATTAACATTGAATTTATTATCGAAGGAGATGTGTATTGCCATATCTGTCTAATGTTCGATGGTATGTCTAACGAAGAAAAGGAATGTTATCTAAAGGAAGATATTTTTTGTTTGTAGCAAGAAGCATATCGGAAGAATTTAGCAGTGGTGATGCCAAGTATCGCGATAACGACGAACCTGTGCAAGGTCCGCATGGCCGTGATCCACGATATACTAAAGATAAGGAAGATAAAGAGAGAGGCGACGAAGGTATTTTATTCAAGCGCAGATCCTATACCTGTACGGTTTGTCTCTCTCTCTCTCTGTGTGCGTGCGTGTATACATACGTACGTACGTACGTACGTACGTGTGTATGTATGTACGGATGTAGAGTATTTGTCAAAATAAATAAATTCAATATCAATCGACAATATTCGATATAATTGATTTCGACAAAGAATGACACATATCTGACAATATCGTATTTTAATGATTTAGAGATGATAAAGGTGTGCGATGGTAATAACTCTTTGAGGCGTCGATTATTTCGAGTAATCACGATACCTAGACAAGCTACCACGGAACAAGTTTTAACATCCGCACTTCGTGCATTTCATATCACGAAAGATTCTAGTACGTAAAAATGCTTTATTATTTTGTTATACTGTCGAAACTCTTTATATGATCGATTAAGAAAATATTTATTTTTATCCAGGCAATTTTTACTTAACCGACTTGTACGCCGCCGAAGAAACTGAATTGTGCGATCCGACACCAGTTCTAAACTTGAATCGTAAAGAAGGCAAACGTCCGGCAGTCTTCTTGCGATTTAAGTAAGCTCATTTTCATTGTTAAATGGATATAATTGAATGATAGAACGATACGAAAGAAATCATTATTTTCAAGGGATAATGAAAGCGGAGAAGTGCGAGTCTATCCTGGAAAGTTACAAATATCGGAGTCGTTTTGCATCGTACCCGTAACGGAAACAACGACGGTAACAGATTTAATCCAGGAATCCCTTCAAAGGTTTAATTTAAAAAGTGCGAATTCTGAAGATTACAGATGTAGAAAAATTCTCCTGAATCGCGACGGTGCGTTTAAATACGACATTATTAATTATCATCTTTATTCTCATACGATTCAATCACTTATTCAATCGCTACGGTACAATATATTCTCATTTACTTTAGAAACCCTTTCGTTTCCTTTTAGTATCCGGCCGTGTTTTATCGCCAGAGGAAAAGCCATGGGATATAGTTAAACAGCTCGGTAAAGATTCCATTAGGCAAATGGAATTGATGCGTTTTTATTTACAATTAAAACAAGATCCCCACGGTCCCAATCTGGCTCTATTCGTGGGTAACTTGCCACCGAATCTTTCGGAACGAATTTATGAAAATATGTTGACCGAGTTTTTAGGAAAAGGTAACGCGAGACCATACATAGTTATAAAATAGTTTTCTATATATCTATAATCTTGTATAGGTATTCCTCTGTTTCGTAATAACAACAACAACAACAACAATTTTCTTTTTTCCTTTTTCTCTATAGAAAACAAATTCTCATCCATTGGCCCAATTTACTACGAATACGGTTCGATGGTAATTATATACGAAGATTCGAATAAAGCGGTTAAAGCGTTGTACACTTTGCGCGAATCGAAATACGAAGACAAACATCTTCTGGGTATATAAAATTTAACTTAAGAAAAAAAAAATAAATAAGTAAATAAAATTAAAAAAAGTAAAAATATAAAAAAATTAAAAAAAAAAAAAAAAAAAAAAAAAAAGAAAAAAAAAGAAAAAAAAAGAAAAAAAAAACAATTAAGCGTGGAGCACGCGACTTTCGATATGTAAGAAAAATAATCGGAATACGTTGATTTGCATTTTAGTTATGTTATTGCCAAGTATCGAACCGAGTATGGTACCATCAGGTGTTCAACCCTTGCTTGTATTTGTGAATGTCAAATCTGGTGGTTGCCAAGGGCTACAGTTGATATCTAGCTTTCGTAAACTCTTAAATCCCTTTCAAGTGTTTGATCTGGATAATGGCGGGCCACTACCTGGGTCAGTAAGAAATATGTCTGTAGAAATAATGGCGACGTGAATGAGCCAATTTATTTATATACTCTTACAACTTTACAGGCTTTACGTTTTTCGTCACATTAAGCACTACAGAATTTTAGTCTGCGGCGGAGATGGTACGATAGGATGGGTCTTGCAATGTTTGGACAACGTCGGCCAAGACAGCGAATGTTCTTCGCCCGCCTGCGCTATCGTACCGTTAGGAACGGGAAATGATTTGGCGAGAGTATTATGCTGGGGATCCGGATATACTGGCGACGAGGATCCATTGAATTTATTGCGAGATGTTATCGATGCCGAAGAAATTATATTGGACAGATGGACGGTTGTTTTTCATCCAGAAGAAAAAGATGACAAGTGCCAAATGAGCACCAATGCCGCAGGTAATCAAATTATAAGACGATTATAATTAATATCGTAATATTTATCATCTGTGTGTGTGTGTGTGTGTACATACCCAATGGTATATAACAAGAGACTCCTATAATATTTGTAGTAGGCGCAAGCTCGACCAGCGAGGACAATACGCAAATATTTGTGATGAATAATTATTTCGGTCTTGGGATCGATGCGGACTTGTGCTTAGACTTTCACAATGCAAGAGAGGAGAATCCTAACAAGTTCAATAGCAGAATACGAAATAAGGGTGTATACGTGAAAATGGGTTTACGTAAGATGGTCGGACGTAAGCCGTGCAAAGACTTGCACACTCAGATTCGATTGGAGGTGGACGGCAAATTGGTGGACTTGCCGCAAGTCGAAGGAATAATTATTCTCAATATTTTAAGGTAATTTTTTCAACGAAACATCCAAAGAGAGCACCAAAGATGCCACACGAAATTCTCATAGGATTATTATTCCAAATGTTCTTATATATTTATATATATGTGTGTGTATATATATATATATATATATATATATATATATATATATACACATATATATATATTTATCTGTTAACAGTTGGGGCTCTGGTGCGAATCCTTGGGGACCAGATAAGGAAGATCAGTTTAATAAACCAAATCATTGGGATGGTATGTTGGAAGTCGTAGGAGTTACAGGTGTCATGCATCTAGGACAAATTCAGTCTGGTCTCCGTGGAGCAATGAGGATAGCGCAGGTAAACGATACTAATTGTAATAGGTACGACGAGATCTTCTTTTGTTACACTCTTAAGCACTCACTGACGATGAGAAAAAAATATGATAGTGAAAAGAAGAAGAAGTAAAAAAAAAGAAAAGAAAATAATCATTTAGAATGTATCTAGAGGAGATTAGTTATAATTATATATGCACTATACGTAGGTATTACCTATATGCATATCTAATTATTGTCGGAGATTATTCAAGGAATATGTACGTATACGTACCTACCTATAAGCGTTTAATTCGGGAAAGCTGAGCTACCTTACTCAGCACGGTTATAATAGATAATCTACTAATTGCACATCATCGTCGGCTTTTACAAAAGAAATCGATTGATTGTAGGGTGGGCATATAAAAATACGTTTGCAGTCTGATATACCAGTACAAGTAGATGGCGAACCGTGGGTCCAGAGTCCGGGAGAAATTGTAGTTCTAAAATCTGCATTAAAGGTAATCTTGAAAGAAACTTTACCGAAACCCCATAATTCCAGCAAAATGAAGGACAGATTGGGTGTAACATAACATAGAATGCAAGTATCCTCAATGGTAATCCTTAGATATACATATATACATATATATATATATATATATATATATATATATATATATATATATATATGTATATATTTTCAATGTATCCCATCGAGAGTTAATGCGCATTATATCTCTATACACATTATATATCTCTTTCCCCTTGACTTATGCGATACCTCTTCTTTATTGCGCACCGTTCTCGTTCACTCAGCCTGTTCGATTTTAAATAGAATAATGGGGTCCTCTATGTGTATACACTATACGTATACATATACATATATGTATGTATATATGGCACGTAAGATACTTAACGGAAGCATCTATGTATGTATATTAGTTGGTAGTATAGATATATTGTTTTTTTTTCTCTCTCTCTCTTTTTTTTTCCCCTTTCTTTTTCTGTCTTCTTTTTTTTTCTTTTTTTTTTCTCTCTCTCTCTCTCTCTCTCTCTCTCTCTCTCTCTCTCTTATCATATCTCGTAACGCTCTCTGCGCAGTCTCCATAAAGAGGCATTACCTGACTGCCGATGTCCGTCAGCGCATGCATTCCTCCCCTAATCGCACTCTACTAATTATTCCTTGTTCCTTTGTTCACTTCAGGCTACCATGTTGAAGAAAAATAAGATCAAGCGTCGGAATACCGAACCGTCGATCCTACCTGCTAATGGGGAGGGGGGCAAGAGCACGGACGAGTAAACCAACCATACTGCAGCTTGCCACTAGTCAGTCATTATAAATCGTTCTTTTAAGAGAGAGGTGTGCGATCCTCGCCTAGACTCCTCGATGTGCTAAAGAAATAGCACATGGGAACGGGGAGTTTCGGTGCGATCTCACCCCCCCCGTAAAAATAAATAGGCCTCCTATGTATGAATTGTTCCGATCGACTCCCGAAAGAAACGCATGCGTTTACCTCGATGTATATATATATCACCACCGTGTCGATACCCTTGGCCCAATTGCAGCTGGATGCTTCTCGTAATATATATATATATATATGGATTAGTCACGCATCTCTTTTATTAGATAGACGTTCTTAGCTTTTATGGAATAATGTTTCTTTTTCTTTCTCTTTCTCTTTCGTTTCTTTCGTTTTTTTTTTCTTTCCTTCTTTCTTTCCTTCTTTCTTTCTTTCTTTCTTCGTTCATTTATCTGTCTTCTTATTACTTCTTATTACTATATATGTATCATTTTCGTATCATCTTTTTTTCCTGAGTTCTGACATCTATATTTCTCACTTCGTCATTACCATTAACTTTCTATCGATTACTCCTTTGTGCGTTCCCCTGATCCTGTCCCTTCCTAGGCAACGATGCTGAAGAAGAGCAAGGGTAAAATGAAGCGGCGTAATACAGAATCCAGCATGCAGCTCGCACTACAGGCTGCGCCCTCGAACGATCCGGATTCTGAAATCTTCTGAGTGAACAAATCGTACTGTGCGAAGATGGTCAATGTCGTTGTCACGCAGGAGCACGTAGTCACGCACGAAAATCATTCGATTATACGATGATAACGTATAACGTGCGTAAGCGGCCTCGAAATCGTCACCGTAACGATTTTACTGTTGCGAACATAAATAACTTCGATAACTACAACGCAGTTACTTCAACAGGTGGAAGTAGATAAGATTTTCAAATAAAAACTCATGATAAGATTCATTGAAAAAAAAAAGAAAAAACAAAAAAAAACAAAAAAAAAACAAAAAAAAGACAAAAAAAGAAAGCTCAGTGATATCTTTAATGTCCGTTCACATGTTGCTAGGATGAAACTAGATCTCATTAATGAATGTTAATAATCATAGCACTGTATGTAGCTTGTCAATCAATATTTTTTTAGTCAAATTATAATAGAAAGTAACACACGATAATGTTACCTCCACGAACTTTTAAAAGCAGTATTGAAGATCGTAAGATATTTGCTTCTAATGTTCAATTTATGTTTATATAGCTTGTAGATTGGACACACAAATGTAATGTATATTACTTTAGTATGGTACTTTACCAATCTGTGGCAGTATGAATCGAGTATTGCGATATAAGACGCAAAAAAGGCATAGAGATAGTGAGAGTGAGAGTGAGAGTGAGAGTGAGAGAGCGAGAGCGAGAGCGAGAGAGAGAGAGAGAGAGAGAGAGATCAGTTGTTATTAATATGTTATATATACATATACATATATATATATATATATAAAATATTAATATATTTACATAATATCGTATTAGTATTACGATCTAAGTTGTGATAATTACAATCTGACCGCTGGGCAGTCTGGAATTCACAAACCAGGTGCGGTTAGAAATTTCCTAGAAATAATTCATAAGAGAGTTAATGTAACAACTTTCAAGTAGCGTCGCTCTAAGGCAAAGCACTTTGCCAATTCGTCTTTGACTTGTGTAAAAGAGCAGCGCCATGGGCTATGAATTGGACAAGTAAATAAAAAAAAATGAATAAATAAAAAAAGAAACAAAAACATTAAGGAGGTGGCTTAATAACGTTCTAAATTTGGCTCTGATAAATCCAAATATTCCAATTTATCGGAGCCATCGGTGGATCGAACATTCCACTTTATTGTAGTCAAAGCAGAAAGAAAGAAAGAGCGAGCGAGCAAGCGAGCGAGAGAGAGCGAGAGAGAGAGAGAGAGAGAGAGAGAGGAAGGGAGAATACGTGTTGTACATTTAAAAAAAGCCAGTGTATAAGAAAAATTATATAACGATGAACAAAGTTGAATGATAATAACGACGAAATGGCCCTCTTCTCACGTGACATAAAAAGCACGCCTTTTAAACATCGAGTAGCAATGCCCGATGAACGACGATGGACTCTATTCAATGGCATTGTTGATTATGTAAAGAGAAAAGAATGGGAGAAAGTGTGTGTGTGTGTGCGCGTGTGTGGTGCGTGCGTGCATGTGTGCGTGCCTGTGCGAACGAGAATGGGTTTTGGGAGTGACAAAAATGCGGTGCCAAACAGTTGTAAATAATATTATATATGTAGGAGATAAGATGGAACTAGTCGTGGTGGCATCTAATGCAGCGCAAGAAATGGATGCAGTGCGACGTGTGTTGCCGATATTAATCCTAAAGAAGAGAAATGTAATCTGCGACGCGATGCTTGAACGAAGGAAAAACAAATGAGAGTGTGAGAGAGAGAGAGAGAGAGAGAGAGAGAGAGTCGGCTTCTTTGACAATTTATTGTTAGGCAAAATGATCAAAGAAGAGCGTGCGTAACGTATCGTTCATCTTGCGCTTATAGGTCGCGCTCTACGTAATCGATCGGTCGATTTTCAAAGAAAAACCTTTAGCACCGTCTCGTTTTCGATAAAAATCTTCGGAATACGTTGCATCTCATCGAAAGGACTTTTTCCAAATTTTTCGTTTTATTAAACGGACCCGCTAAACTTCACCAAGGAGACTCTCATTCCCGGATAATTGACAAGTCTCCTTTCTTAATCTCGATCTACCAATGATGATTATGGGGCTCATTATTTCACGCTGATATCCGGTATTACGGCGTGAATGATACATCTGCGGTAGACCGAAGATTATATTTATCCCTGTGACCAAATTATATAGTATATTTGCTGTTGCTACGAAGTATAGAAAAGAAGAAAAAAAAAAGAAAAAGCTAAAAAAAAGAAGAAAAATAATAAGCTACGTACAATCTATATATATAATAATAATAATAATAATAATAATAATAATAATAATAATAATAATAATAATATAATAATAATATAATAATAATATAATAATAATAATAATAATAATAATAATAATAATAATAATAATAATAATAATAATAATAATAATAATAAATAATAATAAATGAGTGTATGTGCTACTAGACAGCTATCACGACTGAATTCATTACCTCTCCTTCTTAGGACGCCGTAAAAGCGCTGACATATTCTATTATCCACTTTGACTATCGATAAGATACGCCCTTCAACGCTATGTATTTTTAGCTGTGTATACGTAAATGTTTCCAATAATAACATAAAGTTTTATTAATGTTACGGTAAACGAATAGCGCGATAGTGCAACCTAAAAAACTTACGACTCTGTTCATTTTTCGAACTGTACCAATAAATGCACTATAAATAAACATAATTATACCAAAGTGTATTATAATTATTCTTCTTTGACATATGTATGTATATTAATTGTTATTTATCATAGATCAATGTCTCGTTGCCGATGAAATCGTTAGCTTCCCTCAAGTACATGGCTGCGCGGACGAATTTCTTATTTTATATTAGAAAACTTTGGACGAGCTCATTCTGAACTCATTACTCATTGCCATGGTAATAAATGGAAAAGAATGGAGAATAGTAATTATTCTTTAATAATATTCAAACGAAAATGCGCTCTATATACCGTATATATTTGTATCATTAAATACAATATAATTGACAAGACAAACAGACTAGACTAGATTTAATTTTTTCATTATGACCTACCCATATACCCATTAGAGTTTTATCCCATTTAGAGATTTAGTTTCGACGTAATGCACATCATACGGTCGAGAGCATGAAAATGTACGAGACGTAATAAGAACTTTAACGCAATTCTAATTAGAATTTATAGAAATATAAATATGCGAAACTACATTTATTTATATATCGATTATTATTTATTAATCACAGCGGCTTGCCGCTCAAAAATTCCAAATTGACAATTATACTCGAATGTCAGATTAAAATTATTTCAGCGCATTTCAACGTTTCCTCAATGGTTACTTTTATCGACGAACAAATACACCGGCGTTCGAATATTAATCATTAATATATTACATTGGTACGCGTAATAATATGATCGTTTGAAAAATTTTCGTGGAAAGGAAGAAAAAGTAATTCGCAATAAGGACGTGCTTACATTAGATTGAGCTGCGACCAGAAAGTTTCCATCTAACGAGAATTTAGGTTAAAATTGATTAAATATTCGTAGGAAGATAAAAAGTTTTACAATTATATAGATAAGAAAGAGACGATGGAGTTTCCACGTTGCAGCGTATGAGTGGACAAGCCACTATGTAGGAAGAAACTTTGCTATAATTGAGATATATTTATTTAACTTTGTTAGATATACAATAGATTTAATCGGAAGAAAGGTCAAAGAAAGAATGAATGATTTCTTTTTGTTTCCGGCGTCTTTGTTGTCTGTCTGTTTCTTTCTCTCTCTCTCTCTCTCCCAATCTCTCTTTGTTTCCTACGTGTGTGCTTTAGGTGGCGCCGAGGCATGTATTAGTTATGTGTCTTGCCGTAGGAGGCATAACAGACGCCAAAGACAGAGTACAAGTTTCGCCATCTAACCGTCAACAGTCCAAACTGCGTTATGCAAAAATTGAATTTCTTTAATATCCTTGGCGCCATCTAACAACTATCTGTATCAAGAGGTACTGTTCGCTTCGTGTTTAACTCGACAAACTCCACTGCTGTCATATGTTCCTGCTAATAAATCGGAATTTTTGCGACAATATGGTGGCCGATTGGTTAATCATATATTGGTACGTGTATAGATGTGATCGACTACCGTTGCCGTACTTGGAAATATATTAAAAATGAATCTTCTTGAATTAAGAATCGTTTATTATTGGACTTGTCTTACGTTATATCGCACCGAATATCTATTCTCTTATTTTCAATTAATTACAGTACAAGCGAAATAACAAAAAGATGAACGATTTTTCATCTCGTTGAATAAAGATCAGTTTGTTTCACGAGATTAGACGTTGGTCGACGACGTCGCTGTGTGTATTCGACAAATTCCGTGTGTATATATATATATATATATATTGTTGTATGTAATTTGATTTAATACAATTTTTGCATAAATAGTGGAGAGCATCGTTGGTTAGGTGTGTATCGCAAGTTAATCGATGATTGGTGGATTTTTTGGTGTAAGAAAATGTCATTGGCCGAAAGCGTATAGAGAGTTGAGTCCTTGGATTGGAAGGAAATTCAGTTATAACGTTACCGCTCTGAAGATAGGTGTCGTCCAATCTGCTGGCTTTGTTACTTGTAATTCAAATGAAAAACGGTCAGCGTTTTTGTTGAATTCTTTAGATTTCGTGGAATCTCTTGTTCTAGGTAAGGTGTAGCGATGGAGGATTCAGAGGAATGGTAAGTATTTCATAAGATTCTCTTATTTCTCTACGAAGAATGATCCTTATTCATTGGTTATTGTAAAGCTTGATTTTATCTTATTATTTGATAAGAATAAAACTTGCCAGCAATAATCGACGTGTGCCGGTGCGATGACTTTTATGTAAAGTATGTATGCGAGGCAAATTCGTCGCAACGAGATACATTCTTATTCGTTCGTTTGCATTAACCATGTTCTCCTTCGTATGATTTATTCCTCTTGGTACGTTCACTTATCAAAAGTAAACGAGAGAGAAAAATTTCATGTCACATCGAGGAGTACTTTCAGAGGTGATGACAAGTAAAAAAAAAAATGCTCCATCTCCGCAAAATCGTCTTATACATTCCTCTTGCACCTTTCCTATCCTTACGAAGAAAGTTAAATGGTAGTTCTTCGACAGCAACAAAATTTAACCTGCAAAATTTATGGTGAAGATTTTCTAGCGATTGTTTTTCTTCTTTCTTTAAACGCGCCTTTGACAAGTTGCTTGTCAAGAAGGAAAATTGTTATTATTATTTATCCTGTGCATATATATATATGTATATATATATATATATATATATATATGTATATATATATATATATGGCCTCATCGATTGCATTAAGGCTCTTCCTTTAACGAAGGAAGAACCCACGTCGTCGTTTGTTATCAAAATACAACTTATCAATTATATTTAGCATCGTTTCCTCGGAACAATTTATTGTACTTTTATAGGGAATTGATATTGCAAGATACAACTTCTATGGTACGTGATAATTTCACAAAGTTGCGCTCTATATGGACCGAAATAGGATACGATAAAGAAACCCAATCGGCTTATACCATTGCAGCGCGTGATCATATACAGGTAAAAATTTGGCCTTAATGAAATATCTACTTAAGCGTTAAGAAAGAGGCGCAGATTAATGTTTAAAAAATAAAATAGGAGTTATTTAATGATATGGTATCAGAGTTGAAGTATAAAAAGACATTGCTGTTGGAAGAATCGAAGCAGTTGATGCAAAATACAACTATTCTGTCGAAGGTATGTTGTTCAATTTGTAATGTAAAAAAGCTCTTATAATTTATTGTAAATTTATTGCAGGAATTGAAAGAAACGATCGATGCGAGCGGATACGAGATGCTACCTTTGTTCTATTTACATCAGGTACTGCGACAGGATATGGAAAAGTTGTTGCGCATTAAAGAACAACGTGAAACGTATTTAAACGAATTATTGGTCAAGGTACGCTCTGGTTATATGTCTATGTCCATAGTACATGTATATATTCGTTAATAATATCCTTAGGAAGATGAAATTTGCAAACGTCTTGGCGTACACCCAATAGGAATCGAATCTAAACCATTAACCGAAGAGGAATTGGATAACTTTAAGTTACATATCGATAAACAGGAAGCGGAAAAGGTTAATAATTGGTCGTATTACCTTTTACGTTCTTATTACTTTTCCTTCTCTTTTCTCTCTCTCCTTTCGCATTGAATTTTTCATTTTACATTAGGTTTTCATTTTACAAAGCGTTAGGAGGAGGGAAGGGAATCTTCCGCTTATCATAGTTTCATTCTCTTTATCGTTCAGGATCGCGTAGAGGGTGAATTTAAAAATGCACAAAATTTCATTGTCAAAACGATGGATGATCTGGGAATTAATCCGTCCTCTTATTTCGAAGAAATGGTGTGTAATAAGCCCGATAATTTTATCCTTACCCCTGGGAACATGGGATTGTTGAAGGACTTTCAAGAACGATTGGAGGAAGAATTAAGTAGAGCAAAGAAGGATTTCGAGGATATAATGGAAGAGCTAATAGCTTTATGGGAATATCTCGATGTACCTAACGATTATCGCAAAGGATTTTTTAACAATCATCCGGGATACAGGCAAGCTACTATAAAAGCGATTAATGGTGAAATCACGCGTTGTAAGGAAAAGGCACGTATCGCCAAGTGTGTCAATAAAGTAAGAGCCGAATTGGTTAATCTGTGGGACATGTGCAAGTATGGCGAAGCCCAGCGAAAAAAATTCACCGCCTTTTATTCTCGTACCTACACAGAGGATTTATTGACTCTGCACGAGCTCGAGAGCGAAAAAATTGGAAAGTATTATGAAACGAACAAAATGATTTTTGATCTCTTGGAGGAGAGAGAGAAGCTTTGGACGAAAATGAAAGTATTAGAACATCCCTCTAATAATCCGGATCGATTGAATAATCGAGGAGGCCAATTGCTTGCTGAAGAGAAAGAACGGAAAGTCATACAAAGAAAATTGCCCAAGATCGAGGCCCAGTTACATAATTTGGTAGAAGAATATGAGACGAGGCACGGGGAATCGTTTTACGTTAATGGCCTTTCCTTGGAAGAATTCTTGGCGGAATCCTGGGCAAATCGTGATATCGAAAGGGAAACCAAGAAGAATGCTAGAAAAGTGGCGAAGGACAAGTGCGCGATGAAGGCAAGCGCAACGAAACGTACCCCA